TCATACTCTGCAGCATTGTTTGTCTTTAAGGTGGCGAATCGCAGCGTGACCTTGTGCATCGCGCCTCCGGGGCTTATCATCACAAAACCTGCCCCGGCGCCCGTACGGCTGGCCGCTCCATCGACTTGAACTTGCCAGCGGTCGTCTGTCCCCTTCTCCGACTCTGCTACACCCTATGCGACGAAGTCGGCCAGGACCTGGGCCTTGATGGCCGGGAGAGGCGCATATCTGACGTCAAACTCACTTAGTTGGACCGCCCACTTGACAAGGCCCCCGGCCACGTCCATTGACCCCAACGTGGACTTCAGAGGGAGGTTGTTGAGGACTATGATGGTGTGGGCCTGGAAGTAAGGTCTCAACTTGATTGCGGCCATCACCACCGCAAGTGCACCTTCTCGATGGGAGCGTACCGCCTCTCGTGGGAAACCATGGTGAGACTAACATAATACACTGGCTTGTCTTCTCCAGAGTGGGCTTCTCTCGCGACAAGCACTGCACTTACCGAGACTTCCGACACAGCGATGTAAAGGTACAGTGGTTGTCCTTCTTTAGGCGCCGTCATCACGGTTGGGGCGCTTAAGAGCTGCTTCAATTCTTCGAACGCCCCGTCACACTCAGTGGTCCATTGAAAACGCGCCGCCTTCTTAAGCGTTCGAAAAAAAGGAGCGGCCTTGTCGGTGGATCAGGGGATGAAGCGCCCTAGTGCTGCCAGCCTGCCCGCCAGGCCTTGCACCTCTTTGGGCGTCTTCGGGGAGGACAACTTGAGAATAGCTTCTACCTGCTTTGGGTTGGCTTCTATACCCCTTTTGGTGATCATGAATCCCAGAAACTTTCCCGCTTCGGCGCCGAATACACATTTGAGGGGGTTTAGACGAAGCCTATGCGCCCTCATGGCCCGGAACGTCTCTCGCAAGTCTTCAATGTGGTCTTCCCGTTTCCGGCTTTTGACAATGAGGTCGTCCACGTAAGCCTCCACATTTCGGCAGATTTGCTGCCGGAAGACGTTGTTGACCATTCTTTGATACGTGGCGCCCGCATTCTTGAGCCCAAAGGCCATGACCCGATAGCAGAAGTTTCCAAAAGGTGTCATGAAAGCTGTTTTGGGCCGGTCTTCCTCTGCCATGGGGATTTGATGATATCCAGAAAACATGTCCACGAAGCTCAGCATCTCATGGTATGCCGTGGAGTCCACCAGTAAGTCTATCCGGGGCATTGGGTAGGCGTCCGTCGGGCATGCCCTATTGAGGCTTGTGTAATCCACGCACATCCTCCAGTCGCCCGAGGGCTTTGGCACGAAGACCACATTCGACAACCAAGTAACATACGAAGTTTCTTCGACCAAGTTAGCGCCCATAAGCTTGTCCACCTCGACCCTGAGCGCCGCCTCCTTTTCTGGCGATAGGTTCCTGCGCTTTTGTTGCACGGGCGCCTGCCTTCCTCGACCGCTAATCTGTGAACGGCCGTTTCAGGTTTGACGCCCAGCATTTCCAATGCACTCCACGCGAACAGCTCAGCGAATTCCCTTAGGAGCGTGATGAGTTGTTCCATCATTTCGGCAGGCGCCTCTGCCGAGATCCTGACGCATCTTTCTGGGCGCCCTTCCTCCAGTGCTATCAAAAGTTCTTCGTCGGCAGCCTCAGCTCGCGGTGCCTCGTCTCCCACAACTTCCATCACATTGACTCTTGCTTCGACGTGCCTTCGTTTGCGCCCAGTCTCCTTTGCATAACGCGGGGCGCCTCGCCCTCGGGCCACGCCCACCCCTTGCGGGGCGATTAACTTTAAGGTCTGGTGACAAGTAGAGGCCACCCCGTTGAATAAGGCTAGGAGGGGCCTTCCAAGGATCGCATTGTACGGCGATGGGCAGTCCACTATCTCGAAATCTATGGTGTGCGTCACCCTTTGCTCCCCATCTCCCAAGGTGACAGGCAGGCACACCCTCCCTATCACTCAGGCGGGCGCCCCTGAAAAGCCTACTAGCACAGACTCAGATGGTCTGATCATCTCTGGTGATAGTTGCATGCGAACCACCGTATCCTTGAACAACACATCCATGGAGCTCCCCGTGTTGACCACCATTCTCCTTACTCTGCATCCGGCTACTACCCCCTATATCTCCAAGGCGTCCATAGACTGGAGCATACACGCTTCTTCCGGCGCCTTGTTGAAGCTAATGTCGATCAACTCCTGCACATCCGCCGACGCTGCCCTCAGTCGGCGATTTGCCTCTATCTTCTCTCTCAAATCCATTGTTCCTGAAATGGCTTCGATGGTCAGGCGCACGCGATCAGGTGCCTTTTCTTCATCCAGGTCGTAGGGTGGGGGTGGCAGCTCCTCCCTTGTCTTTAGTCTTTTTAATGAAGTCATTAAGCATTCCTCTGTCTGCCAGACCCTGCAGCTCTGTTTTCAGCTGATAATAATCGGCCGTATAGTGCCCAATTTCACGGTGGAAATCACAGTATCGGTCCAAGTTCCGCTCATTGGGTTGTCCCCTCATGGGGCCTGGCCACCTGATGTGGTATCCCTTCTCCTTAACGTGCTGGAGCACGTTCTTCAGAGTGTCATTGTACTCGGCGAAGTGCCCAGCCCTCCTAGGCGCCTGGCGCCCCATATCACTTCTCCTTGGCGGGGGTTGGCTTGCAGGCGCATAGCCCGAACCACTCGGGGGGTACGGCCTCCTCGGCACATCAGCTTCCTCCGCTCTTGACTTTCTACGATCCGCCCTCCTGGCCGCTACCGTCTCCTCCAGCATAATTACCTTTTGCACTCTGTGATCCGAGTCCTCTGTGGTCACCACGTCCCTCTTTGCGAGCGCCCTGCATAGCTCCACACTGGAGGTGCACTCATTTAGGCACACTCCCAGCACCGACGGCTGGGCGTCCTTCACCACTAAGGCCACGGATAGCCACCTCTCGTAAAACTCCCTCCACGCCTCTCCCTCCTTCTGCCTGACCTTAAACAGGGCGCCTATGGTCAAGGAGCGCCTTTTCCTGCTGGCAAATTTTGCTAAGAACATCGCTGCGAACTGTTCGAAGCAATCGATGCGCCCTTCGTCGATCTGATGATACCAATCTAGGACCACGCCTGAAAAGGTGGAAGGAAATACCTTGCACAGGATAGCGTCTGTGCTGTTATAGAGTTGCATTTTGGTGAAGTATCCGTTAAGGTGGTCCTCGGGGTCTCCAGTTCCGTCATAGGCGGGGAGCGGGGGAATGTTTGTTCCTGCGGGCTCCGACAGTATGCAACGTGCCAGAGGCTGCCTCACGGGGCAGTGATGTGATAGGCACCCCAAAATTCCTCCGTTCCACCCACTAGCGTCCGGCACCCCATGATCGCATTGGCGCCATAGACTTGGGCGCCTCAGACACCCTGATTCGCTCTCCGTCTCCTCCATCCTTTCCCTTTTTTTTGTTGGGCTGGGCGTCATCCCTTCACTCCTCTTTAAGGCGTCCACTTCCCGCCGCAGCGCCTCGATTGCCTCGTCCTGATCTTCGATGATCCGGAACAATTCTTTTTTCGTTACCGAGGCGCCCTCGGATCCCCGAAACACGCCATCACTTTCCTCACCTTCTTCCATCTCGGGCGTCTGCCCCCTCATTTGCTCCGATTGTTCCTCTGTAATTTCTTCCCTTTCCTCGTTCATCGGCCCCTCTTCACTCATGACTGCTGGCTATAATCCCCTTCCTGGCGCGCCAATTGTTTGTGACACGTTACCCTCGTATGACTCTCCGAAGTCCTCTCTCGCAAGAGGCCGATCTGCACACACGAACAAGGAGGGGGCGCCTGGGCTTGTTAACCCTCCGACGCCCAAGTTAGTTTCTTGGAAGAGAGAAGTGTCTCAAAGCCAGAGTTTAGTGAGAGAGAGTCCAACCCGTGTAAATGCTACCAACTGCTCCTATTTATACTCACCAGAGTTCGAGGTTGATCCTCTCTACTTCCCTGTCTTCATTTAATGCTTTGTCCCTTTCTGGTCAGATATCCCAACCACCTTGTCAGGCTCCTGGCACGTGACAGGCGCCCGCAGATGCTGGACCACATGACAGTCTGGCCTCCTTTGGCTTTTAGTGACTTGTCCTTATGTGCCCTCCATTTTGCTTGGGCCTTGCCCCCCAATTAGGCTATTTGGGAGCCCAAGTTGTCGCCCATTGGGCTTTGCTCATAATACCCCCAACAGTAAACAATGATATGTAGTGCTAACCCTTAAGAGCGAAGATGAGACCTTACATTCTTTATCAATATGCATCTTAGTTTCATTTTTCTAAAAAAAAATGCATCTTAGTTTCATAAATTACAGGAGACTTAGCAGGCTAACTAACCGTGATAGAAAAGTAATATGTTTTTCATAATTTAACTTCCTCTATGTTTTGTATTAATAAAGTACAACAAATGTGTCTAGTCTAATTGGTTACAATTCATGTGTTTGATGGAAGAGACAATGGTTCAAATCCTAGCATTGATATATTTTTATATGAAATAAAAAATTGATTGTGTAGACGAAAATACCCTTCCTACTTTCACTCTCGTTGCAGGAAATTTGAAATGGAACAAATCAAACTCTTTAAAATGTATTAGGGTTAACACCCTAGTTTGGCCCGAAGTTTAGCGTAAGTGACAGTTCTGGCCCCATTTTTCAAATAAGACATTTATGACCTACTTTTGAAATTATTGGACAGATCTGGCCCGAAATTTGTGTTGACTGTTAATATTAACGGTCAAACATTTATTCCGTCAATGATTCAGTATCCAGTGCTGAAGTGGCAGAGATGTGACTTCCATGTCATCTTTATTTCAATTCTTTTTTTAGTATCTTTTTTAGTTCTTAAAAACTTGAAAAATAAAAATAAAAACCCTAATCTAAACTCCCTCCTCCGATCTCCCCCGCTACTGTAGATCTCACTTCATCGCCGAGCCGCCAACCCTCCCCCTCTCCTCCTCCACCATGGATCAAAAGGAGTACCGCATATGCAATATCGACGAGTAAATCACCACATACCCGTCGTCAATTATTTATCAGAAAATCCTTTTCTCATATTATCAATCGAGTGAATTGAGAGAGGATGAAAGGGTAATCCTTCATCGGAACTAGGGCTAGCTTGTACAGGACCCGATTGGCCACCGCCAGCCCAATCGTGGCCGCGGAGCTCGCCATTATCATGCCGCCGGTGCCAGGTCCCTCTCCCTCCTGCTGGCTTCCGTCTTCCAGGCTCTAATTCGAACAAGAACCAATCGCGAAGTCCCGGAGTCTGCGATCCGAGCAGAGTGCGAACCCAACTGGTGAAGGACGATGATTGACCTAGATTGTCAGCGACGAGGAGTGGAGTCGTCGTCATCAGCAGAGGATTGGGAAGAAGAACAGAAAGCCTTGCCAGCGGGGAGCTGCTCTCGAGAAAGGACACTGAGGAGGAGGAGGAATGGATGTCCCATGGACAACGGGGCGCCTGGGAATGAGAGAGGAGGGAGCTAAATGAATCTGCGGCGGTGGTGGGGTGGGGGGGGGGGAGATCGGAGAAGTGAGCTTAGAATTAGGGTTTATTTTCATTTTTGACATTTTTAAGAACTAAAAAAGAGATTGGAAAATAAAAAATTGAAATAAAAATGACATGGAAGCCACGTCAGCATTGGATGCTGAGTCATTGACAGAATAAATATTTGACTATTAATAATAACAGTCAACACAAGTTTCGGGCCAAATCTGGCCAATAATTTTAAAAAAGGTCATATGTCTTAATTGAAAAATGGAGGAAGAACTGTCACTTACACTAAATTTCGGGCCAAACTAGGGTATTAAATGTATTATAAGTAGTGTAGAAGTGAAAAAGTTGGACAGTAGAATGCTATCATTCAACCTTTAGTGGTTTGGGCAAACCTCAGCAGCGGGGCCAAATGGAGAGGAAAACCCACTTTGCTTGACCCAGCCACCCAGCAAAGCAAAAGAATATAATTTCAAAGTAGCCGTTGCGCCATTCCCCTCCGCTTCTGGCAATGGCCTGTTGCTCACTCACTACTAATATTCCGAATATATAATTCTCTTTCCCCTCAAGAAATCCGTGCCTCCTCTCCTCCACCTTATTAAATTCTCAACTTCGCCAAGTTTCCTTGTTCCTTCCCTCCGCTCCTCCTCTCAATATTTATTTATTCATTCATTTCTTCTTGTTGAAAACTTCAAACCAATTTCCTGCCGAATTCTCAACAAGAAGCAGAGAAAACACACATTTCCCCCTCAAACAGATTTCAACCATGGTCGAACTCCACAAGATCATGAAATTCCGCTATGGAGAACCCACAAGCGCTTCTTCCTCCCCGTTGCTCTCCGAATCCGCTAGAAGCTTCCTTCAAATCTCCACCGCCAATGCCGAAACCAGCAGCAGTGAGCTCAGCGACGACAGCCCTTCCCAATCTTTCCGGTTTGTTCCCAAAAGTGTCGATCGAGAAAACTTAGGCCCGTTTCCGTTCAAATCTGTATCTGGGTCGTTGTCGCACAGGTCTCTAGCGATTCTATCCGGCCACCTGGGCTCCGTTTCCTGCTTGGCTCTCTGCGGCGAGTTCATTCTGAGCGCCTCGCAGGGGAAAGACATCATAGTCTGGCAGCAGCCGGATTTGAGGATGTTTACCAAGTTTGGGCAGGGAGATGGATCGGTGAAGGCGTTGGTGACAGTTGGCAACAAAGTGTTCACGGCGCATCAGGACAGCAGGATTCGGGTGTGGAAAGTGTCGAGGAGCTCAGAGAATGTATTCAAGCTGCTCGACACAATGCCTACGAGAAAGGACTACCTGGGGAAGTTTATGAAGCAGAGCAATTATGTCCAAACGAGAAGGCACCACAGGAAGCTTTGGATTGAGCACGCCGACAGCATTTCCTGCTTGGCAGTCCACAGTGGATTCATCTACTCTGGCTCCTGGGACAAGACCCTTAAGGTCTGGAGAGTATCCGATTTGAAGTGCTTGGAATCGATCAAAGCCCATGATGATGCCATTAATGGGCTGGCTGCCTATAAAGGGATGGTGTATTCGGCTTCAGCTGATGGAAAAATCAAAGCTTGGGGGATGGGAAGTAGTGGGAGGACAGTTACAAACTCAAACAATCCATTGTCATCGTCATCTCCTCCTACTCATTCTTTGAAGGGGATTCTGGAGGGGCATAAGGATGTTTCGTTCAATTCAGTGATAGTTTCAGAGGATGGGAAGTGGGTTTATGGCGGGGGTTCGGATGGGTTTGTGATGGGATGGGAAGGGGAAGGGAATTTTGTGAGCTGGAAATTGGTGTGTGAGGTGAAAGCTCATGTGATGGCTGTTCTGTGTATGTGTATGGTGGGTGAGTTGGTGTTCAGCGGGTCGGCCGATAGGAGTATTGGGATATGGAAGAGGGAAGCTTTTGGGAAGCTGTTGAAAATTGGGGTGATTTCGGGTCATGAAGGACCTGTCAAGTGCTTACAAGCTTCGAGCAGTAACGTTGGGGGTGGGTTTATGCTGTACAGTGGTGGACTCGACAAGAGCATTAGAGTCTGGTGGGTTCCCAGCCGGCAGCAGGAAAGCTCTAAACCACAGCATGAGGAGAAGTCCCTAACTCTCTGACAAGGCAGTTGACACGAAAGCACTGATTGATTCAGAGATTTTTGGGTTCAGTGCTTTCAACTTTGTTGGTAGTTCAAGCTGTTGAGTTGATTATCATATGTGGGGAGAGATTAGATGATAGGCAAGGATGTGATGACCTTTTGTTACTGTTCTGGGTTCTGGAAGCTCTGTTTGTATGTAGGGCAAGACTTGACACTTTTTTTTCTTTCAATCATTTGGGGAGGGTGTTGTGGTTATTTACACGCGGGTTTCAGATTGTTTTTATTTGGTATCAGACTGTAATTACGTGTGGTTCAACAGACTATAATCGAAAACCGAACGAATGGGACTTTTTTCCAAAATATTGTGGAATTTTTTTTAATAAAATCATACAATACATAACTTTTAAAAAAATTTCTCAAACACCAAAGTTTGGCACGGTTCGAGTTTTCTGAACTCGAACTGCAAACTGGATGGACGTTTAAAGACTCGATCAAGTTATGGATCGATTACAAGAAACTCGATCTAGTTAGATCGATGTTTCCATACTCGATATGCATGTGCATCGAGTTTGCTTGACTCGATCTAGTTTGACCGTGGTTCTATGACTCGATCCACATGAATTATTGCACGACGATTATTGGTGGCACTAGATCGAGGATTAAGGACTCGAACTGCAACTAGTTCGAGTGCTTGAGGCTTGAACCACTTTTTAATTATTTTGCCAAATCGTTTTCCATCCGACATGTTTCAGTTTAGGGTGCAGAGATACGATTTTTGGTCCTAGTGGATTGAAGTCCTTTGCACTTGAACTGCTCTAGTTCGATGGACACAGCCTCGAACCACGTCAATTATGTACGAAAATAAAAACCAAACTCTCACACATTCTGGCAGCTCATATACTTCTATCTTCTTTCTTCCAAACACAAACTGCAGCAGCTAGAGCACCATAGCTTAGCAAAGAAAAAACATTTTGGAGGTAAGTTATGATAATGTTGGTGAATAAGCATTAGAATTTTGGATTAATTTAGTATTGTTTGAACTGTATGTAATGAGTTGTTTCCATGAAGTGCAGAAATGGGTAGAAAATTTTCAAAATTCGACCTATTGATTCGGTGGAATGGTCGAATTATATATTTTCAGACTAGTATTGATTACGGAGATGGTGAATGAAGTACTGCCCGGATTGAGAGCATATTTACTTGGCAAGTTCTCTGCCACAATTGTGCAGAACGATGTTACATAGTGGGCGAAGAGTATGCAAGATGACTTACCGTATGCCAGTTTACAAAGGATATGCACTTGTATATGGCGGATCAATTTTGTCTAACGACGATGACATTAATATGACGGTGAGATTTATTGTAGAAAATATGTTTCAAATTGTCGAGGGGTATGCCGAGACTAAAGATGTGGGCCAATATGGTGGTGGGGCTTATACTGAACAAGGTGAAGGATCGGATGGAGTTTTCGATTCTGAAGATTTTGGGGGTTCGGATGATGTACCATGGTCAAGATATGAGGATCGAACTGAATCTAGTCCATTGGTTGAACATGAAGGACATGAGTGGCCATCATGGGGTGAAGAATGAGATAACATAAGGGCACCTAGACAGGCACCCAAACAAGCATCTTGCATCAACAATGATCCATATGTGGATAAGCCAAGTCCTTCCTACACTAGCGAGGCAAGTGACGTGGAAGAGGAAGATTTAGAATCAGTGAGTAGTTCAGATGGTGATGATGCGGAAGTTGATGAGGGGGGATTTGAGCCCCCCACACCTCACTACACGATGGTGCAACAACATCCTCTCTTTGCTCATAATGACGATCCTGACCTCCCTCCTATACCCATCTGGACTCCTGATTCGGGGTTTGTGGTTGGTGAACCATTTGGGGGAAAGTCTCAGGGGTCGATGTATTGAAAGAAACTGCGATGCGAAAGAGATTTCAATATATTTTCATCACTTCTGACACTTAACAAATTCATATTTGTTAGTCCATACTACAAGACTCCATACAAGGTGAGAGTTTGAGAAGGGTCATTCATACCCTTAGCTCATGAAACGTATTGGCCCCATTATGATGGACCTGTAGTGTACCCTCCCGAGCACCAAATGCATACCAAAGGTCGAGCTAGGGTTAACCGGATTGAAAATGAGATGGATAGATCAAGGAGACAACGACGTGGCCCGAAGAAGTGCTCTCCATCTCGAGTTGAAGGGCATGATAGGCGCTAGTGTCCAGGGCCAGCAATTGACAATTGAAAGTTTATGTTGTAATTTGAATTTTATGTTCTAGTTTGAGGACTTAAAGCTATAGTCTTTGGATTTTATGTTTTAATTTGAAGTTTAAGTTGTTATTTGAGGACTAGATATTAAGGAAACTAATGTTACTGGAAACATACGGACAACTCTAGAAAATTAGAACAACTCGAACATACGAGCAAACACTAGAAAATAGAACAAATCGAACATACGGACAAACTCTAGAAAGTATAACAACTCGAACATACAAACAAACTCTAGAAAATTAGAACAACTCGAACATGCGGACTAACTCTAGAAAATTAGAACATCTCTAGAAATCACTCTGCTCACTCTTGTGCACCACGTCCGCATCCCTCTCTTCGAGCTCTATTCCTTGCACGAGCTCCATGGCCAATCCGAGTATGTCGAGGCAGTGGAGTTGGGTTTGCAGTGGCTGGAGGAGAGTAGTAGACATGGCCAATCGAAGGCTGGAAGCTTTGTTGTGGAGGGTCGACATTGGGATACCCATAATATGGGGGGAGCATAGTTGGCTCATCCTCCCTCTTGTTGAGCCGAAATTGATGATCCCTCTCCGAATTCCCTTCTGGCGTGAGGGGGGGGGGGGGGATCCAAACTCATATGGATTAGGAAGTATCACATCTTCTAGTACTTGCATAGGGATTCTAACAGGCTCTTACCGACGTTTACTCTTCCTTGGTGGCGATGGCGGGAGGGATTCAACTTCAATGGCATGGGAGTAAGGACGTAGCGGTGCAGGTGGAGGTGGATATGCAATGACATCCCTTTGAATTTTCCGCAAACATGATATGAGATTCTTGAAGAGCTTCTTCAAGAATGAAAATTTCTCAGGCCTCAAAGTTGGTTCTGGTTCACTCTCCAAAGTCAATGCGCAAGTTCCAACTAATCAACCTAGTTAATAAGCATTTTAGTCAAATACTCTTTGGATGGCTAAAGTAAATAATGTGAATATATATATATGCTTACCAACGAACCGATCACGACACACGTTTAATTGCCCATCTTTTTGTGAACTTGCGGTACCAAATCGTGTATTCATCTTGGTAACCCATTGGCCTCGTCATTGGCATGCCATCAATTGTAAACGTATGACGAGACTCCCATATACCAAACCATCTCTGGTGCTTGGTGGCCAATCACAGACTGTACCCCGCAAATCCATGTTGTATTGACTTATGTACGCCCAATGGTGGAAGAGGAATCGGCTGCGGCCAATTATACTGTCAGACACATCTATTCGGGAGGTGCCACTCGACAATATTGTGGCAAGTTGCAGACAACTTGCACGACCAGAGTCGATGATCTTCAGGGTATCGCAACTCGTACATCTCCTTTGATCTGTTCGGATAGGGATCCCACCCCACCTAAATTTCAACAAATAAATTAAGGCCCATACCAATAATTTCAACACATAAAATAGCATACATATTCAATAAATAATTAAGGTCCAAACAAATAATTTCAATAAATAAAATAGCATTCATATTCATAAAAATAAATTAATGACCAAGACAAATAATTTAAACAAATAAAATAGAATTCATATTCATAAAAATAAATTTATGGCAAATAGAAATAATTTTCAACAAATAAAATAGCATTCATATTCACAAAAATAAATTAATGGCCAAGACAAATAATTTAAACAAATAAAATAGCATTCATAAACTAGAATGTTACCTCGTTGAACTCTATACTATCAAGATGTTAGTGGTAGCCGACTAGGGAATGTATCATGATAGCTACAATCCATCTAGCACCATAAGATGCTTGTCGTAGTGGCTGTTCGGCACCCCAAATTTTGGCAGGGCAGATCGAAGCGAGAGTTGGGAGGTTCTCCCAAACTCATAGTTGGAGGATGAATATCGCACCACCCGCTTGCTTTGTTTTCGGGCTTGCACACGTGCACAGTTCCGCATATATCATTGCCAAACAAGCAGATACCCATCATTTTCTCCCAATCTCCCAAAAGAACTCGAAGCCACATACAATGCTTATTTCCACAAGATTTGTTCGGAAACAAAAATCCTCCAACCAAACAAATCAGGTAGATGTGAGCATACCTCTCTATCTGAGCATCCGTGGCATCCTCCGATAACGAACTAAAGGTCCTCACTAGCCAATGGATCAATAACATAGACTTGTATAGAGGTGGTACAAGATGACCTTGTGGTGCTTCCTCGGGGTTGTTGATGCCTAAATGCTTGCTTATGAATTGGCCCCAACCATTGAATAGTTTCTGTGAACTCTCTATTATGGCATCACCATTGATTGGAAGCTCTATTAGCATGATCACGTCCTTCAACGTAATTGTCATCTCTCCCTCCAGAAGGTGGAATATGTGTGTTTCTTTCCTCCGGCTTTCCACCATTTTCGTAAGGAGGTTGTTGTACATCTCCATCCACGCAAAGTTTCGCACCCTCAATAATTCTGATATTTTAATGAAGGGCTCGATCTGAACATCCCATTCAGGCAAGCAAGATAGCGATCGATGGGTGATTACGTCAAGTTGTTTCTGTAGAAAAAAATCTTAATTATTATACGAAAAAATTAAAAGAATAGTATCGCATTTAAAAAAATAAAAGGCACATGAGGAATGCTTACTAGGTCTGCCGCCCAAACATTTTCAGATCGATGGTAAGGTTGCTCATCCAAAAAATCGGTTTCTCGCGGTCCACCTTGAATGTATAATCTAGGATCGTAAATAATCAGGTCTATCTCAGAAATTTTGAGGGATAGAGGTACCAAACTAAAGAAAAAAATTGATGCGGAAGATCAGGCTGAACCGCAACCACAAAGCATATTTTTTTTCTTCAAGAGTGGTGGAAGGAATAGAAGAAGAAGAAGAGTGGAGTGGTGTGAGATTTGTTGAAATGGGGGTGGGGGGATTTATACATTCTGTGGGAGGTAGTGGATCGAGGGAAGGATATTCGAACAACTGTATCGAGTTTTGCGCCATTGATCCGTGTCAATACCAGTCCGAGGCAAAGCAAATCGGATGAGTGGGATCGAGTCTTGAGTACTCGATCTATGGTGGATCTTGGTAACATCATCAATCCGTGTCAAGTGGATCGAGTCGCAAAATGTCAATCCGGGTAGATCAAGTTTCCCGCACTGGATTCGTGTCACAACTACTTCGCGACCGAGGCAATCGAACAGGTTGGATCAATTTTCGCAAACACTATCTATGGTAGAACGCGTCCTATGTCATCGATCCGTGTCAACTAGATTGATTCCTCCTTCGTCGATCCACCTAGATCGAGTTTCCCACACTCAATCCGCTTCGTCGGGTCTCAACCAATCATGGCCCTTTCACTCAATGCATACGAATTGATATTGTGGCAATCGATCTGGTTGTAGTTCGATTTTCTTGAATTTTATCCGTGCCAAAATTTGGTATTTTGTGAAATTTTTATAAAAGTTATGTATGGTAGGATTTTTTTTTAATTTCTACTGTATTTAGGAAAAAATCCGAAGGAAAGTTATTACACTTACTATTGCAGAAGGTTAGTTTTTATTTGATGGAACGATCTAAGTACTCAAAACTGGAAGATAATTCTTTTCTAGTCCTTGTAGTTCTGGCATACTCTCTCTGTTAATACTATGCGTTGAAATCATGTTGCATAACCTTTAGAGGTACTAGATATGCCTACTCGCTTGCGCTTCGCGGCGAGTTAAGGATAGCACTGTAATTGTATTGTATGAAACAATTAATAAAACATAACTCATATGACATAATTCCAAGAACGGCAAGAAAAAAATCACTAAGATGTCGTGTGAGATAATTCGTAGTAATATGCACTCGCTGCCAATTATGTTACAGATTAGACGATGACAATTTACATATTTGGAACTAAACAGCTGTTATGAAGTTTCTGCATTTCAAATACAAAACCAAATACAAACAATACGTCACTTTTGTCCTCTTCAATTGGGTGTGAAATTTCTCATTGCCTTTCTATCCGAACCCGAGTAAGAGACATGTGTAACGATGCAAAACCAGATACGATCAAAGAGGAAAGTTCTAACATACGAAAACAAAAGGATAAAATAAAAAATGAACCACTTAGAGATTGTTATATGTGACCAAAGCACATGGAAGATGTAAAATAAATAAATAAATAAAAAGGATATGATGCACAATATTTGATATGTTAAATGAATGCCACTAAAGTTGAGGTTATTTAAGATTTTACCTCTTAAGGAATAGTAAACGCTAGAACCAAACTTGTTATACTAAAACTAGAACTAGAATATATTCGTGCTATCCTACAAACCATTAGTTTAACTTCCTCTTGCATTTGTGATGCTTATGTATTCATTTATTTATGTGATTGTTGACAGAAAAACCATTTGTCCGGCTTCTAGATTTCAAACTAGATTTCATCTTTCACTACAATTTGTTTAAAGGAGTGAGGAAAAGTTTGATGTTGCAGAACTATATGAGTGAATGACTTACCATACTGGACTGTATGGGACATGGATGAAGAAGATGCAATATATTTACCATAATATTTCTTAGATATCTACTTAAGCATCACATAAGCTATTTTTGGCATCTGAAATAAGTGTAAGGTAATTTGGGAGTTTTTAGCCAAGCACAAACTTCATAAATGCTTTTGTTGGATGTGAGGGTTGTTAGGTTAGAGGAAACGATAAGTTTGTACTAATAGATGTTTGTTTAACAGAGAACAACGACATCAAGATTTTATAGACTTTATTATTGAGCTTAGGGAGTATTATGTTCCATACCACATATATAACAAAATATTATAAAAATAAAAAAATGTGTGGCCACTCGCATATTGCTAAAAGTAAATATATTTAGCTTAGTTCGCGAGGCATCGCGTAAGCTGAACGAAAAGTAAACACATTTATCCCAGCTCCCACGGGGTCGCGCGAGCTGAGGGAAGTAATTTCTTGAAATGTGCAACACCATGCATCCTTTCTTCTTCATCTACCTCCGGCACCAAATAGATCCTCTAGCGACGGCTTCCTCCTCGCCACTGGAATCCTGATAAGAAGAGTGAGAACTAGTCACACGGAGAGATTGTCGCCTTTTTCTGCATCGTTGCCTTTCACCACCGTGGAGGGAGAATATGGGAGAAGGTGGGAGGTGGATCCCAGTATTTTGCTCAGCTCGCGCGGCACCTTAAAAGGAGCTAGATTTATTTATTTTTCCTTCAGCTCAGGCGTGCCTCGCGAGGTGAGCTAAATTTATTTACTTTTCACTCAGCTTGCGTGGTGCCTAGCGAGCCAAGAAAAATTTATTTACTTCGCTTAGCTCGCGCGATGCATTGTGAGCTAATCTAAACTGTGCTACTTTCGCTCACTATGCGCATGGCTGTGCATTTTCGCTTCTCCATAAGAATATCCTTGTAAATACACTTTTTTACCACTATATACATGGTAATATGTTTATTTTTATAATATTTATGTAAATCACCCTCCGCATTGCCATTGATGAGGGTAATTAATTAGCCAATAGCATATGTCTTTTGTAATACGTACCAAATT